CCCCCCTAGTGGTGAGATGGTGACACCTGCTGGTCATCTTTGACCCTACACAACTAAACATTACAGCAAAGTTGGCCGAACGAAAACAATGGTCACGAAGCAACTTAAAAATCCATCTACATTACACAGAGGTCTGGAGACGTTGTTTTTATGGCCCTCAGTAAGAACTAAAAACAGATGAAACTGATGACTGTCACTCAACTAATAAACTGTCCGTCCACCATCAACATCCTCAGCATCTGGTTTTTAGCTTTGCGGCTGTTGTTTTGACAGAAGCCAATATCTTTAATGTTGTATTGGTGTTGATGGTACAAACACCATGTGAGCTGATGCTTCGTGATTAAATGATGATCTAAACTCAGTGTTTCTTTCAGTTCACATCAGCAGAGCGGATCTGGACCCAGCTGTGTGTCCATGAAGAGTTATCAGTCTAATGATGAGCCGATCAACTTCAAAGATGGACGCCCTTCTCATGACCCACGGTAAGGCTAATGAAACCGATGAACTGTTCTGATGCTCAGTTATGAATGAAAGAAATGGTCGTTCAATGTTTAAAGTGTTGTTTCCATGACGATCCATCATGACAGAACTCATTATCTTTATCTAACTGGTCTGTTTGTGTTTAAGTGTGAATCATTAACTGTAAACATCCGCACATGTAAACACAATGTGAGCTAGTTCCTCCACATCAGGATATTCCTGAGCCTGACTGACCATGTGATTAGAATAAACTCTGTGGACCAGCTGACGTGGTCCCTGGACTCCATGCAGAGGTTTAGAGTAGTTTCATAGGACTTTGTACCAAATGCAGATGTTGCCCTCCTCTCAGTGAACAACAGCCGACACCTTAAATACATACAAACGTAAACCGTTTTAATGGTGGTGGTGTCTGTGCAACGTCAGTCTCCGTCAGCCGTTCTTCTTCTTCTTCTTTCCCACGGAAGCGCATGTACGATGCACAGACACCCCCCTAGTGGTGAGATGGTGACACCTGCTGGTCATCTTTGACCCTACACAACTAAACATTACAGCAAAGTTGGCCGAACGAAAACAATGGTCACGAAGCAACTTAAAAATCCATCTACATTACACAGAGGTCTGGAGACGTTGTTTTTATGGCCCTCAGTCAGAACTAAAAACAGATGAAACTGATGACTGTCACTCAACTAATAAACTGTCCGTCCACCATCAACATCCTCAGCATCTGGTTTTTAGCTTTGCGGCTGTTGTTTTGACAAAAGCCAATATCTTTAATGTTGTATTGGTGTTGATGGTACAAACACCATGTGAGCTGATGCTTCATGATTAAATGATGATCTAAACTCAGTGTTTCTTTCAGTTCACATCAGCAGAGCGGATCTGGACCCAGCTGTGTGTCCATGAAGAGTTATCAGTCTAATGATGAGCCGATCAACTTCAAAGATGGACGCCCTTCTCATGAGCCACGGTAAGGCTAATGAAACCGATCAATTTCAATTAATTTTATTTTGTAGAGCTCAAAAGCAAATTTGCCTCAGAGGGCTTTACAGTCTGTACACATACAACATCCTCTGCCCCGAAACCCTCCATCGGCACAGAAAAAACTCCCCAAAAAATGAAAAAACGCTTCCAAGAGGGAAAAAAGGGAAGAAACCTTGGGGAGAACATCAGAGGAGGATCCCACTCCCGTTATGGACAGATTACAATGGATGCCATGTGTACAGAATGAACAATGTATAATACATGTAATTCCTATGACAGAAATGATTCAAGTAATTGTGAGTAGCAAGCCAGGCGCACAGCAGGACCCCTGCAGGGACCACCACCATCAGATAGAACCACCATCAGATAGAACCACCATCAGATAGAACCACCATCAGACAGAACCACCATCACATAGAACCACCATCACAGAAGCCTGTGTGGAGGGAGAGCACAGAGACTTTAGGAGAGGGTAATGTTGGTTTACGAGTACAGTAATAGGATTAATATCTAAAATCATAATGAGGCCCGCTAGGGGAGAAAGCCCAAAAAAACTCCCGGAAAGAAGCTGAATTAGTCATGTGCATTAATCGTGAGAGCGTGAGAGAGGAGCTCGGTGTGTCCTAAGAAGTCCCCGGCAGTCTAAGCCTTTAGCAGCTTAACTAAGGGCTGGTCCGGACTAACCTGAGCCAGCCCTAACTATAGGCACAATCAAAGAGGAACGTTTTAAGTTTTACTTTAAAAGAGCTGACCGAATCTGCCCCCCGGACTGAAAGTGGAACCTGGTTCCACAAAAGAGCAGCTTGATAACTGAAGGCTCTGGCCCCAGCTACTTTTAAATCATAGGAACACAAGTACCAGCATCTATGGAGCGCAGCTGCTGTAGGGCAATAAGGTGTTACAAGCTCTGAAGATACAACGGTGCCTCACCAGCAAGTGCCTGTAGGTGAGGAGAAGTACCTTAAAATCTATTCTTGATTTAACAGGGAGCCAGTGCAGAGAAGTTAATACAGGAGTGATATGATCCCTTTTCTTAGTTCTTGTTAATACACGTGCTGCAGCATTCTGAATCAACTGGAGAGGCTTAAGAGATTTATAAGAGCAGCCTGATAACAGAGAATTACAGTAGTCCAGTCTGGAAGTGACAAACGCATGAACTCATTTTTCTGCATCACTTTGAGACAGGAAGTTCCTGATTTTTGATATGTTACGTAGATGAAAATAGGCAGTCCTTGAAGTCTTCTTTATATGCGAGTTGAAAGTCATATCCTGGTCGAAGAGAACTCCCAGATTCCTGACGGTACTGCTGGGTACCAGAGCAATTTCATCTATAAAAACTGTATCACGTGACAGCTGGCTTCGAAGGCGCTCTGGGCCTATCAGGATAACTTCCGTTTTTTCTGAGTTTAGCATCAGGAAGTTGCCGGTCATCCAAGTTTTGATGTCTCCAAGATATTCTTGAAGTCTAACTAGCTGGTCCGTCTCTTCTGGCTTGATCGACAGATACAGTTGAGTATCGTCTGCATAACAATGGAAGTTTATGCGGTGTTTCCTGATAAGATCGGCCAAAGGAAGCATATAGAGGGTAAATAAAATCGGTCCAAGTACAGAACCTTGTGGGACTCCGTGACCAACATTGGTGGTCTTTGAGGATTCACCGTTTACAAGCACAAACTGGGATTGATCCGATAGGTAGTTCTAGTCTCTGCAACAGGATACAATGGTTTATGGTATCAAATGCGGCACTGAGGTCCAGCAAGACAAGAAAAGAGATGAGTCCTTGGTCCGATGCAAGTAGAAGATCATTCGTAATTTTCACCAGTGCTGTTTCTGTACTGTGATGCACTCGAAATCCTGACTGGAAATCCTGGAA